CCGTCACAGAAGGCTCTTCAGGAGCTCTTTCCCAATAGTGGCTTGTTCCTGTCATCCTTCAAGCTTGCCTCCATAATGCACCAATGTGACCATGACAGCCTTCGACTTTTCCATCTCCTTTTTGAACACTTCTTATCCCGCAGAGGAGTGCACCAATGCAGTGGCTTTCGGACGACATGGCAAGATACCAGAGGGGAAGCAGCTGCTTGACCAAAGCAAAGTTGATGGAATTCTGAGTGAGTAGTTTTTCTGGTGTAATGACTGCAATGTTCTAGCTACTTTCTAGCATTTTGCTTTCTTGATTTGTTGTACACTAGTTACTTGATTGTTGTTGTTTTTTTTGAGTAAATATATTTTTAATATGATTAGATTATGAAAGTCTACAGTGGCCGACAAGGGTCAAACGGACAGCAACGACCCAATACGTCTTAGTTTGAGAAAACAGCTTCAAGTACAGAAACGAAGCAAAATCACAAAATCAAACACAAGTCTAAACGAGGTACAAAACGAGGAACGTGTTGCAAATGAAAAAACGCATCATCAAAAATGCATCACCATCAAACGCACTGCAAATGGAGAAACGATCTGTAAACCGAGAAAAGATCTGCAAACGAAAAATGCTGCATGCTCCAAACCTGCAGGGGGAGCCCTCAGCGTAACAGCTCAATAGAGAGACACACGGGATGGAGAGAGACAGAACAGCTGACTAAATCACAACGGTGTATGAAAATAGCAGGAATAGCAGGAACCGCTTATAGTGATCACGGATATAGTAATCAGCTGCTTTAGGATCCAGAGGACAGAATCATTTCTATACAAATGCTGTTTAAATAATTTGGTTATAGTGATCAAGAAATCCACTTATAGTTTCATTTTTGGGAATTTTATGAATGAAAACATGCAAAAACTATTTTAAAACTACGTGTATTTAATTTTTTACTCGCAGCAGGACATAGTGCAGCTGTCCCATCCAGAGCTGAGGAATGCAGTTCACATTTTAAAGGTCTCCTGCATGTTGGTTTTAAAAACTTTGACCTTTTACATGGTTTTGAAAAAGAAGTGAACCTGGTGTTAGGCAAAAGTAATTAAACTTGCATGATGCTTCTCAAAAGAAGCATTTGAAACGACTGAGTTTAAAATCAGAATAAAATTCAGTCAATGCTGAAGCTGTCTATTTCCATTTTTCTCATTGAAAAACGATACGAATGGCATTTAGATGATGTTCTGCATAAAAAATTAAGTGAAACAATAAAAATTCAGTTATAGTAATCAACTGCTTATTGTGATCATATTGACTCCAGACCAACGTGATCACTATAAGCGGTTTTCACTGTACAGCAGGAACGGTAATATGACTTTTACTTGATTTTATATATATGTTTATATATGTTTTCATGTAGATTAGCCTGCTTGATATAGGTATGGGAGACTGTGAAAAGAGGGCTTTTTAATGTATTTTTAAAGCGGGTGTTTTATATCAAGTAGGCTAATCTACATGCAAACATGTATATACATATATATATAAAATCAAGTAAAAGTCACATTACCGTTCCTGCTGTATTTTCATACACTGTTGTGATTTAGTCAGCTGTTCTGTCTCTCTCCATCCCGTGTATCTCTCTATTGAGCTGTTACGCTGAGGGCTCCCCCTGCAGGTTTGGAGCATGCAGCGTTTTTCGTTTGCTGATCGTTTGTCGGTTTACAGATCGTTTCTCCATTTGCAGTGTACCTGTTAGAAGTTAAAGTTTTGTACCTCGTTTAGACTTGTGTTTGAGTTTGTGATTTTGCATCGTTTCTGTACTTGAAGCTGTTTTCTCAAACTGAGACGTATTGGGCCGTTGCTGTCCGTTTGACCCTTGTCGGCCATCGTAAAAGTCAAATAAGAAATTGAATGATACTGAATGTAGCTCCTGGTGTGTTGAGAGATGCAAAGGAAGGCTAAGATGGATATAAACAGTCCTTTATTTTAACCCTTTGATACACTGGCACTGCAAACCCATTCTAATGCACAAGATGGACCAAAAATTACCTGTACTTGTGTCATGCATAGCTGAGTGTTTCTTTGCCATATCTTTTAAAATCAATTTATTTCATCATTTAATATTCCTAATATTAAATGTTTTCTTTGCCACTAGTCATTATTTCCTCTTATGTTAATAATCAAAAACATTATACACTTAGATGGAACCATTGCTATATAGAAATGTCATTTTACAGATAGTTGAATGAACATAATAATGTATTAAAATATGCTAGGAAAATATCAAACTAATTTAAGTCTCTTTTCTCCGTTTTTTTTTTTTTTTTTTTTTTTTTGCAGCCTATGTGAGGCGGTGCGCAACGATGGAGAACTGGAAACCAGTAGAGGAGGCCAAGCTTAAAAAGGCCCTCATAAATAAATGCTGTCACAGGTCAGTACAGTGACTGGCTTTACAGGCATAATGTTTACAACAGCCCCTTGTTCACCAGTGTGCCCTCTTGTTCAGCAATTGTGAATTTTTTCACCGTTTATTGACATGTTGTTACACCAGTGGTTGTCAATTGGGATAATGTGATTGCTGTCACTTTTACAATGTATGGCCTGGTTCACTCTTGTAAAATGGTATGCACACTGGTATGCGTGTTGAATTAATGCAAAATAAATGATGCTGCAGTTCATTCACAGTTGTTTCTTATTTCTTCCATTTTAATCTTAATTTTCTCTTACCTTAGTCTCAAAGTCGTTCTGACATTATCTCAGTTTTTCTCCTAAGGGGAGGGGTTTAGGAGCAATAATTCAGATTGAGGTGATCTCAAGAAGAGAAGCAATTGAACTCCATCTTACAACTCTTTAGTGCTCCTCCTGGCTTTTTAGGAGCAATAAGTAAGACATGAATGAGATCATAAAGATGGAATCCTGAGATCTCCTATGATCTCAGTTTTTCTCCAAGGTGTGATTTAGGAGCAATAATTCAGATTGAGGTGATCTCAAGAAGACAGGCAATTGAGATCTGTATTTTAACTCTTTAGTGCTCCAACCGGCTTTTTAGGAGCAATAAGCAAGACATGAATGAAATAAAAAAGATGCAATGATGAGATCTTATCTATGACTATCATTTCTCCTACAAGTCTCAAAAAGTCATTCTCACAATATCTCAATTTTGCTCCTAAGGGGGGGTTTAGGAGCAATAATTCAGATTGAGGTGATCTCAAAAAGATACACAATTCAGATTGAAGAAATCTCATAAAGATATTCAATTGAGATCTCCGTACTGTCTTGAGAGATCAAGAAAAGACTATCCTGAGCAAAAAAGTTTTCCTCTGGGAATGAATCTCAGATTATAATTCCATTTGAATAATCCTGCTGAATTCATCTATAGTAACTGCCAATGGATATACAACTGAGTGACCTGCATACATTATAACTTTTGTTTTGCTTAATATTAATGCTGAATCATTGGTAAAAAAAAATGCTTTGTAATATAGACTAATGCAATTTCCCTGAGGTACTCCATGTTTCTTTTTAAGCATTAAAAAAGCCACTAAAAAACTCTGTGTTCTATCTGATAAATAACTTTCAATCTATCTAAGAAATAAAACAGTGATATAGTCTTTTACATTCCAGTTTCAGAAACAAATTATGAGTATAATGTCTAATGCCATAAATGTCCTTATGTTTTATTATTCTCGAATTCTCTGAACCAGTCATCAGGCCTAAATCAGGACTAAGTAGCCTCGTGAGACCATCCTGATCTCGCGAGCTTTCAAGGTTTCACTCGCTAATCAGTCTGGAGACTCTCCGTTGAAGAAAATTTGGAGCCGTTCACCAAACGAACGTCCAATCAGCGTTGGCTTTGAGGCGGGTTGAGGTGTGACGCAACGAGAAGCGCGACAGTTTAGTCTAAAGAACATGGCGGCTTCAGCCGATGAAACTAGCGTTAGCGTGGCTATCGAGCAAGTTTTATCTGAATTACAGAGTATTTCTTCACTGAAAGAAGAGCAAAACACTGCTCTGGAGGCTTTTCTCAGAGGAAAAGATGTTTTTGCTCTTCTCCCGACTGGTTTCAACAAGAGTAGCCTGGCTTGTGGTTGTGTTTTCGTCATCACTCTGTTAGTACGTCATATGCTTTGTTGATCTGATTGGTTTATTTGGCCCGTCTATCACCAACATAGGCCAATCAGCTAACCAGTGTTTTCGCCCCTTCCCAAAATTACTTCAACGGAAGGTTTCCAGATGGATATGCGGAGCAAATCCATCTGGCCGAGTCAGTTAAAAAGTAAGAGCTATAAAGGTGGAATGCCCTTTTCTGTAACCATGCTGAAAATGAAAGATCTTTTGGAGTAATCATCGATCCATGCATCTATCCATCATCTAAATCCACCCTTTATCTTTCGGGCTAAAATACATCTACAGTGGAAATTTGTTTGTTCCATATTAATTCTAACATATAAACTTTGTAAAATGTGAAATTTAGTGAAAAATATTGGAAAAAGATAGCTTTTTGAAGACAAAGAAAGGAGCATAACTATAGAATTTATTACAAATGTAAAATCATAAAAAGGTTTTTGAACTATTTGCGGTTGCAAATTTCATAAAAGAAGTGACCTTCCTTTCCCAATGTCAGAGTTAAAACACTGATATTTAAAAAGCTTTTTCAGGGATTTCTTTGGTACAAACACTTTTCTTTTTCTGCCGCTTCTGGTACTTTTTTCCTTGCTTACATTTGTCCAAGATAAATAATAGATACATGCAATCGGACAAATGGAAAAAAAAAAGCAAGAAAAAACTCTTCTCGGGACATTTCTACGACTGTATTTTTAGCCAGCTTTTATTTCCAAACATTATTTACTCTTCTAGAGTTTGTGCAGCCATCATAGAGATGGAGGGAGAAAGTGTTTTGAAATCACCTCTGTGTACCTTCCATTAGCTGGACATGATTTTTCCCTACATCCAGAGTATTTATTTTCCTGCCAGCCTTTTTTATTTTTTCTCAGACTACTATCTGTTACTTTTATTTCAGGTCTTTGGTCGGATGGCAGATGGAGGCATCGGTACAAGCATCTCATAAATAAATTATGCCATGAAACATCGATTGCACGTCTTTTTAAACGGTTCAAGAAACAGTAAAATGGAAAGATTTAAATTTGTGACAGTGAATCCAGTCAAGCCAGGAATAGAACAACTCAGAGAACATGCAGAGATGCCTGTTCTACATCTTTTACTGAACAAGACTCTAAAAATTAAATGTTAAATTTTATTAAAACCAAGATGCACACTGCAAAAACCATCTAGAAATAATTAAACATTTCTTAAATTTTGTGTATTTACCTTTAATTTGAGTTGGTAAAAAAGATTTGCCGATGGAATGAGTATTTTCTACTGTTAAAATAAGATAATTAGATATTTTGCTCTTGATATAAGAGATTGTGGGGTTGTTTTTTTTATTTTATTGGCAAAATGTCTCACTTACCTCCTCAATTCAAGAGAAAATGCACCTATTTTAAGAAGAAATTGCTTCTATATTGCCAGAAGTATTTGCTCACCCATCCAAATTATTGGAACCAGGTGTTCCAGTCACTTCCATGGCCACAGATGTATAAAATCAAGAACCTGGTCATGCAGACTGTTGTTACAAACATTTTTGAAAGAAAGGGTCACTCTGGAGCTCAGTGAATTCCAGTGTGGATATGTGATGGGATGCCACCTCTGTTGTCTTATATCCTAAATGTTGCACAATCAACTGTCAGCGGTATCATCAGAAAGTTTTTGGGAAGGACAGCAACTAGGCCACAAAGTATTAGGCCACATAAACTGACAGGACAGGGTCAGTGGATGCTTAAGCTAGTAGTGAGGTCACCAACTTTCTGCACTGCAAAAACCATCTAGACTTAAGTAAAAAAATTCTTAAACTGAGTATATTTGCCCTTAATTTGAGTACATAAATAAGATGATTTGCCAATGGAACTAGTATTTGTACTCTTAAAACAAGATAATTAGATATATGCACTTGAAATAAGACAAAGCATTTTTTTCTTATTTTAAATGTAAATTGTCTTGTTCCATTGGCACAGTATCTTAATTACCTCCTTAATTCAAGAAAAAATGCACTTAATGTAAGCAAAAATGACTCATCAAGATTTCCATTTTAGGCAGTGTGCAGAGTCACCCACTAAACACCTCCTAACTTAATGTTGCCTTCAGATTAGCTGAACACCAGAGAACGTCATTGACTGGGTTTCTATGGTTTAGCAGCTGCATCTGTGCCATACATCACCAAGCAACATATTGTCATTATCAGTGCGTATGAAATCATATGAAAAGTTATGCACACTATTTTGTACGTTTTGGACGTTTTTCCTCAAAAAACCGCATCAGTGCGCATGCGCTCGCAGACAGAAAAAAAAAAAGCAGATCCGCGGTCGGACGTAAAATTGGGAAAAACAGTGCAATCATCACTTATTGATGTCTCTAACTATGTTGCTTGCTGCTTTATATCTTAGGGTCAGGGTTAGGGCTAATTGTAATTTATGTTATATATTCGCGAATGGTGCGTCAGATGCGCATTCGACGAAAAAAAACGTCCAAAACATACGAAATTACGGTGCATAACTTTTCGTACGATTTCATACGCACTCATAATGACTCATAATAGGTTGCACCAAGTGCAATGCCAAGCTTTGGATGCAGTGCTGCAAAGCACGCTGCCATTGGACTCCAGAGCAATGGAGATGCGTTCTCTGGAGTAACAAACCATGCTTCTCTATCTGGAAATCTCATGGGCTTCTCTGGGTTTGATTGCTAGGTGCACAGTACTAGTTTGAAACAATTGTGCCAAGTTGGGGGGGTTATGGTGTGGGGCTAAGGGAGGCAAGCTGGGACCTTAGCTTGGCCCCTTAGTTCCAGTGAAAGGAACTCTGAATGCTTTAGCAGACAAAGACAGTTTGGATAATTCCATGCTTCCAACTTTGTGGGAACATTTTGGAGCTGGCCCCTTCCTCTTCCAAAATGGAGACATGGATGGCAGAGATTGGTAAGGATGAACTTGACTGGCCAGCACAGAGTCCTGACATCAATCCCTAAGAATACCTTTAGAGCGTAGACCGAGAGCCAGGCCTTCTGGTACAACATCAGAGCGTGACCTCACAAATACGCTTCTGGAAGAATGACAAACATTCCCATAAACACTCCTAATCCTTGTGGACAGCCTTCCCAGAACAGTTGAAGCTGTTCCAGCTGTAAAGGGTGGAACACGGTCGTATTGAACCCCAATGAATTAGGATGTCACTGAAGCTCATGTGTAAGACAAATACTTTTGGCAATAAGGTATATGTCATCTGGTTCAAACAAATTACGACCACTAAATCCAGATTAGTTTGATAGATGCCAATAAGGGTTAATTATACCAGTTATGTTCAGTTTAATTCATATTATTGCGTTGTATTAACACTGTTGCCGTTAAACAACCTAGTTTAGTGAAAAAATTTGGCATAACTGAGTTAAGTAGTTGCACCTTTTAATATTAAGTGAGAGGATTATGTTGAAATCAGTCTCTAATCCTTTTTGTTTCAACGCCGCTTTTTGTTATTTTTGTTAGGTTAATTCAGTGATGATTATAAAATTAATGTGTGCTTATAAAACATTTGTGCAAGGGGATGCTCCACTCCTGTGTCATGATTCAGTCAGGAGACCATCCTGCCTTTTCATTCTGATGGAGCATTCTGTCTTCATGAACTGATCAGTTGTTCTGTCAGAACAATACTCTGTTTGTAACCATGCGTCATGTTCTGTTAATAAAACTGCTCTGTGGGGGAATAAATTGTGTATTTCAGTTCTTCTTAAGCAAAAACCTACATTTTATGAACCCGACAATTTTAATATGGTTTAATGTTGTTATATTTAGCATGAAAAACATAAAGATACAGTTTGGTAGTCTATCACCATAAACATAAACCTTACGGAATCGCAATATTACACTTTTCAGTGTTAATTCTGGGGCTGCTATGAGTACAAATCTAAAAAGTAACCAGAATAGCATTACATTGTACCATGGGAGACTTGGTCTCTTCCATTAATGTGCCTGTGATGGTAAATTATCAGAGGCCTCGAGGGTCCCGTTTCACATCCAGCTTGTCAATCAGTCTAGCAACAAACACAAGCAGATTCTAACTGGAGTAACTGGGACATTTCAGTTTAGCCCAGCAGTGTTTGCATCACAGGGCCCCTTCAACTCTGTGGAACTTATAAATGCATGAAAAACTAAAAAATGAAATCTAGTCTTCGGCAGCATTCATTTCTGGGAATGACCAGTAGGGATGCTGTTGACTGTCAAATCCAACTCGGACTGTCTGAAAGGAGACAGAGAACCTTAAAACTCCTCTTACTCTCACCCAGTCTGCTCCCATTAGGGGCACAAAAAGAGGAGCTGGGGGGACTAGCTGTGCTCCTGTGGGCCCTCGCCTCATCTTTTTAGCTTTTCCATTTTCTCTGCGCCTCTCCTGTCCCTGGCTGCATAATGCCACATCAATGCCGCAGCAGGGAGGAGGCACCACACGAATGTAAACACTGAACCTTCGACACAAAGGAGGGATGAATAAGGTGAGACATGTCATCCTGATTAGAGTTAATAAAAAAAGACGAAGAAAAGGAGGAAAAAAGTGGAGTGAAAGAAAGATGGCGAGGGGGGGTTTGAACAGAATTGTTGTCACTAAAATGGCATCATGGGCATAAGTCAGGCTTTAGGATGGGCCACCCTCTGAATGGGTCCTGCATGTCGGGTCCAGTGGGAGAACCGAACGGGGAGCAGCGGGTAGCCGGGAGAGCCTCCTGGATTTTAATCCTCCAGTCTGAGCGGGAGGAATTAAACTCTTCACAGTTATTACTGCGGCGGTGGGAACCTGCTGCTGCCCTTTTCTGTGACTCATAAAGTATTCAGTCGCCTCTTCTCGACTGTTTGACACTTTTTTTTTCTGCTGCTGCTTACTGTTAGCCCTGATTGAAGGACTTGTGGTTTTTCACTTAAATACAGCAAAGATTTCCAGCTGTGAGATGCTAAGCCTCTTTAAGACGGTGGAAGATCCCTGGAACCGGCCACCCTCAGCAGGGAAGGTACAGTAAGATGAACCCGGCCAGGATAAAATCACTACCACTTTGAACTGTTTTCCCCATTTTAAACCTAAACATTATGTGAAATCTGAAAAACAAACTTATAAAGAAACTGAATGCTACAATATGCCACATCTTTGAAGAATATCTACAAGCCTATGTGGCCTTTTCACTACATTTCCAGTTTGTTTAAATGAGAAATTAAACTTGTGAGATAAGCTGTAGAAGATTTAGAACCACAGACTGAAATTTATAAAAACCAATTTTAGCCTTAAAAAAAAAAAACAGGCATTCTATTGAAACTATAGTTGCCATCCTAGGAGGCTTTTATAGATGAAAACATGCCACAAAAAGAGTTAGACCATGTGTAGGGTGGTACACAGACGAGTGTACAGCAGCCGAGATGAGAATCACCTCAACCAAGTCCAAGTACATCGCCCCCCATGTCCCCTCAGCTTGGAGGAGAGTATCTGTGGGAGACCAATAGATGGATCGGTGCGGCAAAAGAAGAGTTCTTTAACATATTGTTCTTATGTTAGGGGAGTGGCGGCCTAGTGGTTAGGGCATAGGGCCTTGAATCCTGAGATTGGGAGCTTGATTCCCAACTCCCCCCAGACTGCCACTCTGGGTCCCTGAGCAAGACCCTTAACCCAACACTGCTCCCCGGGCGCCGCACAATGGCAGCCCACTGCTCCCCAAGGGGATGGGTAAAATGCAGAGATAAATTTCTCCAATGTGAGATCAATTAAGTTCAGTTAAAAAAATTACCTAAGAAATATTACACAAAAAATACTTTATTATACACACCGAACATGAATAATTTAAAATTTTATTTTTAGATAGAAAAAAAAACAAGACTAACAATTGCATACATATATATTTTTTAATTATTATTATCATTATTTTTTTATTCGTCAGGTTCAGGTCTCTTCTAAGTGGGGAGCCAATTCCCCTCGTCCTGCCAGACCCCCCCGCCCCCCACCCTCCACTGGCTGGCACTGTGGTCCACCATTGCAGTGGTGGTGCTCGGTGTTTAGGGGCGGGTGCTGGCTTATTGCTGGCGGCTGCCTCACGGGGCTCCTGCCGGAGGGCTAGGGCTCCCCTGGGGTCTCTGGTCCCCCAGGAGGATCCCGGCTGGGGGATTTCCTCAGGGCCGTCTCTCCTCTTCCCTTGGTGGGAGGGCGGATTTCCTGGGTTGGCCCCTCCTGGGGGCTTTGCTCTCGGGATCCCTTTTGGCATCTAGGGTTTTGCGTACTTGCCGTATGTGGACATGTGCCAGTGTGCTTTCAGCTTCCTTCACCGTGCTCATAACAAATTTAACGTACGTCAGGCATACGCTGGCTAAACCGTCATGGCGTGACAGGGGCTTAATAGGAACCATTTCTTGGCTCCATCATGGAGCTACTAAGACCTGACAACACCTGAGCTCCATCTGACATGACTTCAAGTTAGTATTCTGATTGGTGCAGAATTTCTTAGTGCTGATATTGACATCATTACTTAAAGTAAACAAGTATATACTTTCAAAATAAAAAATATATTTATTTACTATTTGTATTATTTTCCACTGAATGTAATACTTTATTACTTTATCACTCTGGACCATCACTCTTCTGTGGATGGATCTTTTTTTGATTAATCATTTTGATTAAAGGATTGTAGCTAAGTCAGTTTTAAGACATAATTGTTTAAACATGGGTCGTTTGACAGATCATAAACAAAAATTAGTTACCAAAGTCACGATTAGATTGGCTTTACTAGATAAGGTATCAACCAGGACTAATAATAAAATGGACTGGCAGGTAAAGGAAGCCCAGGAAGAGGTAAGGACTCAGAGTAGATATCATCAGGTCTGACAAAGGTTGGAGTTTTCTACACAGGC